ACCTGCATCCCCAATTGCACAGCTCTGACCCTGGTGGGGAATCAGCTTCTCCTGGGATGACTCAGGCTCTCCTCTGCCCTGAAGTCTGCTCCCCAGCAAGCCTCAGCTCTGTTCCCTCTTCCTGGGGAGGGAGGAGGGGCTGAGTCTTTACCCATCTCTCCAGGCTGGTCTTTACCCATCTCTCCAGCTTTCCTACAGTTTCTCTCTCTCTCTCTCCAGTTGCTTTTGCCTCCTTCAGCTTTTATGGCTTCATAGTAGCCAGTCAGAGCCCCGGGTTTGCAGTGGGGGCTCTGGTTACAGTTCAGATCCTCCATTAAAATGCATCCATTGTGCACAGTGTACCCTCCATTTGTAAAAGCTATTGCACCCTCTGCAAACTTTTTGCCTCCTTTCTAGCAAAGTTCTTAGGCACAGATCACCCACTCAGCTTGCAGCCAAGCAAGCCTTTGCAGCTTTTATATTTGAAACCCTTCCTCCCCTACAAATTCCAACTGTTACAGAACTCCAAAGCCATCTCACACTCCACTGCATCCCTTTCAATCATTTTCTGGTGGAAGGTAGGGCAGGGTATTACCTTAGGCTACCTATACACGTGCTTGGGGGTGGGGCATTTTAATTAGAGTGGTTCCCAGAGATCCACTTTAATTAAAATGCCACAGCAGTACATGAGCTTTAGTTAAAGCACCCCAGTAACCATTTTTTAACCTGTGAGGGCTTATACATGACACTGTGGTGATACTAAAGCGTTCTAATTGGAACATGACGCAGTCTTCTCTGACGCATTCTAATTAGAGGCTGCTGCCGGTGGGGGTGATCCCTGCGGCTCCCTGCTGCCCCACGTCATGTGGGGGGTTCTGCATGAGCCCCCGAAGTCCCGAGGCTGCACCAGGAGGGGTGAGTCCTAGGGCTTTTCTCAGGTGTTTTTTTTCTTAAAGGGCAAGAGCTCCAGCAGGTGGGGCAGCCACGGGGGGCCAGGGAAACAGCGGGGTGTCAAGGGGGCTTGTGCAGAGCCCCCCATGCTGTGTGGGGCAGTGGGGGACAGTGGGTATTGCCCCCTGCCTGGCAGCACCTGGTGAGCACCAGGGCTTTTTTTTAAAGCACCGGGAGGTAGGGCAGGTGGGGCAGCCATGTGGGGTTTGGGGGCGTAGGCAGGGGTCAGAGGGGGGGGTTGGGGAGACTGGCATGGTCCCCTCCCTCCTTCCCTGGCCCCCTCTTCCCTGCCCCTAGTACTTACCAGCTTGGAGTGGCTGCAGCTCCCTGCTGCAGTCACCAGGGACTGCCCAAATCATCACAGCTCTCCGAATCTTTGCCAAAGATTTGGAGAGCTTTGAACTGATTCAGACCTTTAAATAGGTCCTCTGATTTGATTTGGATTCAGAGATTTGGCCACCAAATCAAGCCAAATCTCCTTTTAATCGAATCGCCACCTGAAGCTTCACACAGCCCTAGTAGTTAACACACGGAGGAACATAGAAACAGCTGGAGTTAACAGCTAGTCCAGATAATGAACTAAGAAGCCATTCTTTCCATTGAGATACAATCCTGTCTGTGGATGATATCCTGTTCTGTGCTCATTTCAAGTTGATTTTTTTATTTAATTTTTTGTTTGTTTGTTTTATTTAAGGACAGCTACTCTGAGATCAGTGCTGGAATGTCTAAATGAGGCAATTCCTATGTAAAAGAATAAATGAACAGTGATTTGAGATCAGTTCCACAAACACACAAAAGTTCATGGCAGTAGACTTCAATCCCCCAGGACAGGGCGACGCGTAGGGGGTGCATGGAGGTGCACGTGCACCCCCTGAGAGTGCCGGTGCACCCCTTGACAGCTGCACTCACTGCTTAAGCAATGGGCAGGGGGGGCAGGCAAAAACACGGGTGTCCCCCCTGCAAGCACCGGCCAGCTGCTGCGATTGCTGCAGTCATTTTCAGGAGTGGCTGTGGCCGCTTCTGGGAGTGGCTGCAGCGATCAGCTGGCACTTGCTCCCAGAGGAGGCTGCAGCTATTCCCAGAAGCGGCTGCAGCGAGTGCAGCGATTGGCCGTTGTGGGATTGCCCACGCCCCGACACCCCACCCCCGGACTGCAGAATCACCCGTGCCCCAGGACAGTCCACTGCTGACCTCAAAGCAGCTGTCCTTAACTCAAAAAACCTTTAAAAACCAATGTGAACGTGAAATTGTGAAATAAGAAAAAATCCATATGTTAAATATGGTCTCAGCAGAGACAATGAGTTCTTATTCCGTTACCAGGATTGGCTTTTAACTCCAACTGTTTATTTCTATGTTCCTGAAAGTGTCACTGCCTTGTATATCCCTACTGACCTTTTCAATCCACCTTTTGCCTTTCTCCACAGTGGCCTCCCCCCATCCCTTTCCTTTGAATTTAAATTCCTTTCCATTTATACCTTTGCTTTCTGCAAGTCCATTCACAGTATCTGACAAAGCAG